ACACACACACACACACACACACTACTAGTCCTTTATACAGCCAGTAGACCTCAAATCATCAACCTCGACTTTTTCTGACAGCCGTACACATTAAAAACAGACCACACAGTGTTTGAGCTGCAGCTCCACAGAGAACTGAGGTTGACCACAGAAATAACATCAAGTCCATCCTGAGACTGTCCGAGGGAACGGCACCAGAAGCTAATACAGCCAAATCAAGCTAAGACACCGACCGGCTCTGCAGCTAAGCAGAATACTGGCAGAGAGAGCAGTAAGTCTACCGAAGGAGTTACATAACCTGGATTAAACAATACGAGCGAATAAAATACAAGCTTCAAAGAGGAGCAAATCTGAATCTTATAACCGTCTACGGAGCCGGCACTCTTAAAGCCTTTACACACCGGGGGCGTGACGAATACACGTCACATGATTCCAGTTTCATCTCTGTGTACCTCAGTACCTGCGACAGTACCTTTACAGTTAGAGCCTCTTTAGCTTCTGTGCTGTGAATATTTGAGCGGCCTATAGTTACAAGAGGGTTTTAAATCAGATCCTTTGCATTTGATTGGGCAATCTCATGTTGTGGCTGTAATTCATCATCCCAGGAGGAGGTAGAACTGTTTTATGAAGTGATTATCGTTCAGAGGAGACAACCAAGGAAGTAAATGAAACGCTCTGGTTCAAAGAGCTAAATATGTGGTTGTCTTCTGGAAAAATACATTAAGTATTAATGTTTTACTGTGAATAAATCATTTTTAACTTTAACTTGGCCACATCTTTATAACTGAACTGTGGAAGAAGTGACAGTCCTCTTCTGCCCCTGCTCCTCCTCCTCCTCTGTCCGTCCCATTAGACAGACGAGTTTGGATTTAATGCCGTTGTTGGTTGTGTGTCCACTGAGTCACACACTCAGCTTGTTCCCTATGATGCGTGGGAAAAGTGGAGAGCAGGAAGTCGCCAGGGAGCTCAGAGGAAACAGCAGAAGCATCAAAACAGGTCTGCTGGAAATGAGACTCTGCTGGGAATTCTGCCCCCTCCACATTCCATTTATTACCACACATTTCATAACACCGGGGGCACATTATTCCATGATCACTTAAAGAAAAACACCAGACGAATGCCACTGGGAGCTGGACCCATGGCCCAGGGTCTGTAACTTCTGAGCTACACCAAGACTTGCCCACAGGAAAACAAATCAGAGGGAAATGTGCATCGTTTTTAAAATAAACTCTACGTTGATGCAGAAAACACTAACGGTTGAGATAAGAATGTGACCAATGACCTCCTGTCATTAACTTTAAATGTCTCCGGGTAAAGTTAATTATCACACAGGATGTATACTCTAGCAGGTTTTTTTTTTTTAAACTTGTGCTGCTTTTGTTTAGTTAGTTTACTCAGAAATACCATCAATTGACACATACTGTAGGTGGTACTTTATATCTTCTAGGACAGTTTAAATGGACAAAGTAGTGCACAATATACATCAAGTTATATACCGTTATTGTAAATCCATAAGAAGCTTGTTTTCTGTTTCACTTTATTATATTAAGTTATTTACGTTTAGGTGCACCGTGACAGCTTTAGTTATGGATATATAGACAACAATCCTTTAACGATAGTCAAAGTATTACAGTAGGACAATGACACTGAAAGAACTGCAGCACTGCTGGAAGCAGCAAGCTGGAAGCACTGTTATTGACATACAGATGCATACTTGGTCCCCCATTTAAAATCTCCCATGACCCAGAGGAGGGTTAAGCCCTCCTGCTTCAGACTCTAACGTTTGCTTTTCTCTTTAAGCCGCCGTCTCTTCCCCGTAATGCCATGGTGACTTGGCTGAACAACAAACAACAGCTCTGCTGCTCTTAGCTGGATCTATTCTAAAACAATCAGCCCTCAGTCTATTATTATCTGATGAGTATGTCTGTGTTCCTTTGACACAGAGCTCTGATTTATACACAAGGAAGGACAAGGATAGAAGACGATAGAAGAAGAAATGGACAGAATGACATTGTCCAGGCTACAGCTCCGTCCCTCACCTGGAGAGTGAAGTATTCCAGAGTGGAATACTCAAAGTTACTTTGACCTTAAGAAAACTCCTACAAAGAACTACCATAAATGACTATAAATACAGTAGAAGATATAGTATAGGAGATTTAAGAGATACTATTTCAGGTTAGGAAATACCGTTTGTGGCTTGAAATGAAAACATTTTAGGGTTTTTGTTCCATTTGGATGTGATCAGAATAACTCCACAGGGGGTCTAGGGTAAGTGGATTGACTTATTGCAGAGATTATAGCTCTGACAACATAGAAAAAAGGATATTGCCCCCGACAACACAGGTCTCTCAGTCAAAAAACAACACAAAATTGAAAAGAATAACAAGGTAGATTGCACAAAGAATAGCTGTGTCTTTCTTTGAACTTATACCCTAAGCCCACTGCCATGACCTTGCTGTGCTTAGGTTTAGCTCTGTAACGCTACACGCTGTGAACAGCAGGGATCGACATGCTGCTCAACCCCGTCTAAACCGGGACAAAGACTCAGCAGTGGAACAATGTGATGTGTGCTACTTTCAACTTTTACCTTTAAAAAGAGATAAAAACCCACCACTGCATTACTGGACAGGCCACAGGATTTGAGCCTGTGGTGTTGCAGACAACAGCAACTACAGAATAATGTGTGCGTCTAACCTGCTGCCTCTTGTGTCGTATTGTTTCATGTTTTTGATGAAGTGCATCTTCTTGGTGTGTCGAGGTCTTGGAGAGCCACCGGAGAGGTTACGAGTCCTACAGAGAGACAGACAGACAGAGAGACATGGAGATAAATGAAGGGTTTTGCTCACATTGTAGCAATTCATGAATAAGGATTTAAAGCATACACACAAAATTAGACCTGAAATCAAATTGAATATAGCGTACAGTGATTAAGAACAATCATTTTGTTAATGAGTGGTTACTGAAACCCGGTATTAAACGGGCCCCGGGGCTAAAGACGGTAGTCTTTATCATCACGCTAAAGCCCCTCCCCTGCTCTGTGTCGGGGCTGAACTCCTTCACACACATGCACACACTCACCTTAACGTAGAAACATGAACACACTTGTGCTCACAAACAGACAGACAGCATCTGTTACAGTTTTTGTATGGCTGACCTGGTGAGTCCACACCACATGGAGTTTGAACATACACAAACACACCTGCTTCATTTGTGAAGCAGATGTTTGAGGGAGCTGTGTGTGTGTGTGTGTGTGTGTGTGTGTGTGTGTGTGTGTGTGAGAGATGTGGCAGTGACATCTGGGTAGTTTGATGATCCTTTAACATTCCACCCCAAAACAACAATCCACACATTTGTTTTGTTTATGAGGTAAGAGAAGCGTCACTCTGTCCGTGAGAGTGTTTTGTAGTCCTGAGCAGCAACATGTAAACATTTGATTTTGGTCTGAATCAGAGTGAGGGCTTCTTTCTAGAGTCACCGTTTCACTTGGATGTTGTGTGAAGCACAGCACTGTTTCAAGGGTTCTCTTTTAATTTTAACGAAGCAAGTCACCAATGCATTGATATTGTTGTCACTCAATTGAAAAAACTCAAACCAACCCCAGGACCCTCCAGCGGAACCGAAGTGCCTTTGAGCAGGGCACAGCTGCAACCTGACCCTCTATAGGATATCCTTAATGAGTTTCTTCTCGGTTTGTGCAAGTATGCTAACATTAGCAAGTAGTAAGGCTGTAGGGATGCTTGTTGTTTGAAAAGTTTTGTTACAAATGGCAAAATGTTTTTTATTGCTTTACGAAAAATCTCCATGTTCCTCTACAAACATCCGTTTTTCATTTAGCAAACGAAGTCAACCATCACATTATGTTGAATGTTGAATAAACACAAGCAGCCACACAAGACCTTTGGCAAAATGAAAAGTCCTCACATTGGCAAAAACATAATTCAAATCAGGAGCTATCTGATAAAATAAGTAAACACCATACGTCCAAGAAGACATTTAATGCCAATTTGTACTGTTGTGGGTTTTTTTCCCCAGGATGTTACATGGAGGAATAATGAGCTGGTTCATATTCAGTGCAGCAGTAACTAACTGTGGCTTACTGATCTCATGATTGATTGCTACAAGTAACAATTAGGACTTAAGTTAATAACATGTTTGGATGGACCACAAACAAACCTCTTAATTACAATCATGAGGTTCTTCAGCAGTGACTGACCATTAATAAGGTTTATGATAGCAAATACTAAACAATAACAATCTATGTTAACTTTAAATCATTCCTCTCAGCTTGGAGGCGTCCATAAGGAAAACCCTGAAATCATAAACATCAACAATATCTGGCTGACCACTTTGCTCTCAGTCTTTCTAAATGTGTCCCAGTATCTGAGCTTTGGATCTGCAGACGGCCCATTTCCATGAAAACCTGCTCCGTCTCTCTGGGATGTTGTGGAAACTTTCCTTTCTGTGGGAATGGAAACATCCAGTCTGTCGTTTCCCTTGCTGCTGAGGATGATGATGATTGGAGTACAGGTAACCTACTTTTAGAAGAAGACTTTCTGAACATATGACATTTTTCTTTAAATGTTTTTATCCTTGTGCCATCAAGCTAAGACCAACGAGCCGAAACAAAAACAGCAACGCTTTCCCTCGTTGCTGTCACATTAGGTCTGGCCGATTACAAATGTTGGAGCAGGACAGAGCTTCAGACTTCAGAAAATATTCATGTTGCCGACAACAGATAATAGAGTGAATTAATGCATGAATATATGAATACATGAAAGGAAACAGCAGGTTATACATTAAAAAAAGCAATACAGACTTATAAAGATAATAAAGATATATGCATTAGCATTGCAAAACATTTTAAATACCTAGCTGAGAGGATTATGTCATAAATACAGCTTCACTAGACAGACAGTGTGGCTGGGCTTCAATTAACTAGAATAACTGCAAGTTATGTTGCAGTTTACATTCATGACTCTCCAAAATGTCCTCACTTCATCATTTTATCTTGTTAAGACATTTGTGTGAAATTTAATTTTGTGAAGTCACAGAGGACAATGTCTAAACTACAACAGTATCTCGCAGCCAAACTCATTGATGCGATGGAGACTTACTGGGAGAATGTGTCCATGACAATGTATGCAACATCGTGCTGCTCACTCTCCTGTACGGGTGAACTGGAGACTCGGCTGCCTGCTTTGTGCATACCCTGCAGCTGGCAATAAGTGATAGATATGACTCGTTTGTGCATCGGTTATCAGTGCAGCTGGGCGGCTTGTTAGGCACTTCAACCACAGCACCCCCCCGCATGCAAGGCACTAATCCTGAGGGTTAGCGATTGGTTAACAGGGGTCGGTTAACAAAATTAGCGTACCTAATATTCAAGTAATATATATATAAATACTATACTTAACTACAGTGCAAGTAACTCAAAATGTTACTGAAGTACTTCCATTATGCTACTTTATACATCTACTCCACTACATTTTGGAGGCAAATAGGGTTCCTCACAATAGTTTTAAGTAAAACATCTGAATAATACGACCACTACTGAAAAATAGTACTTTAAATATCTATATATTAAAGAGCACCAACTGTATGTTTGAGAATGACCGTACGATGTGAAATTTAAGTGAAGTGAATGACCTTTAAACACTAACAAGAGCTTCATGAAATCCAATAGGAAACAGTGACTTTGCAGCTCGGGGCCTAGAACCAGCTGCAGGCCTGTTGTTGGGGACTGTGGTGATGTACTTTTCTAGGACGCCGAGTCATTTTATTCAGTTTAAACTCATGAACACCAGTGTCACAGTAATAATAGCTGCTGTTTAATCTTAAAATAATCTCTCTCTTTCTCTTCGTCGATCCCTCCTTTTGTCACTGCAAAAATATCTGCTTTCATTCTCAGAGTATGAAGTTATTATAGGCATCACATTTTTCAACAGCTATAACTTCATATTTATGACACACTTTTACCACACACACTTTTTAAAGGATGGCATTGAACTGAAATTCTAAGCTTGAAAGAATCTGACCAGATGTTTTAAGAAGGGATAAAGTTCCATTCAATTTAATCCAAGATACAAATAAACACCGACACCACACCAACTGCAGGTGTCGTACTAAATACTGCACCGAACACATCGCTGCCGTCTCTGTCCTGACTCGTCCTCGAGGATCAATGATATTTGCTCTTGTTGTATCTTGATGAGCGAGCTGACAGCTGCTTCCTCCTCACATACAGCTTCCACTGATCAGAGGCAGCGAAGCTCAGAATAGACTGCATGCATGCGCGCACACACACACCACACACACACCACACCACTGGTTTATATCAACACACACTGGCTTAATCTGTTTTCTGTCTGTAGGGACAGGGATCAATATTAACTCATAAGGTCATCTACAGAAGTGACTGTATTGTTTTAACCACATAGTAACAATGCACACTTGTAAGCTGTACAAAATAACACAGATTCTGGCCACTGTGTTTTGTCCTCCATGTTTTAAAGTGCAGTCAGTGGTCAGATAGTCCGTTGCCTGGGTCTAGAGTTTTATATCCATCCACTCCTCCGAGTTGGAGTTGACTGATTCGTCTGGCATCGATTCGTCAGTAAATACATTTTCACCTATTCCTACAGCTGTTTCTGTGTACATGTATGTGCTGCATAGCAAAAATAACATAGGTTTTTATATCTGGACCTTTCTTAACTCAAAGGAAAACAGTCGCTTAATAAGGTGATTGGATATTATCAGCCAGATGTGAACAATCCAAACACAGAGTGTAAAAAGGATGTTGGTATATAAATTCTTATCTTAGAGTTACGACTTATTGCTTAGTTACAGCCTCAACTTCACTTACTCGTAGACAAGGTGCGCTAGGATTAGTTGGGCTCCCTGCTGGCCGACACACTGGTAAAGCAGATGTGCAGTGGGATTCATGGTTATGCCGTTTTAGCACTTTTACAGTTCAAATTGCCAAATGGCTGCTGTCAAAAAGAGCCGTTATAAACTCAGCTCACCTGTACAGTGTGAGTATAGCAGTTGCAAGCTCGAGCTGTACAGAAAGTAAATTGAAACTTGTAGTGCGAGTTAAGGAAACATGTACGATAGATTAAAACCTGCAGCGTCTGCTCAGCTAAAAACAGAGAGGGAAGTGACTCTCTCACACTCGCTGTCTCTTCACCTCTCCCTCGTTCTGTGTGAGACCACAGAGGCTTTCACGCACACACACAGCTTTTTTTAACCCCACCCATACCAACTCTTTAACACGCATGCATGCACACACTTTGTCATTGACCAACCAGAAACCATATTAAATGTCCTGCTGTCTAAATCCTCATCCCTCCCACACAGACACACACACACACACACCAGGCAGCAGTGTGTCTGTCCACACCTCCGACACAGACTGACTGTTGGACGTTTCACAGATTACACTACATGGAGCTCTGGCTGAGAGGCACACACACACACACATCACTAGATTAACAGAATCCTCATGCTTCTTCTTCTTCTACAGGATTTACTGCAGGATTTTTTTTACTACTTATGATTTTAGCACAATTTCAGAAGCTATTGTAATAAATCCTTTTACTGCTCGTGAACTGTTCAGGAAGCTTTCTTAGAAGAGATCTAAATGGAAAATATATATATATATATATATATATATATATATATATATATA